AGGGGAGGAAATATGGGAAGCCGTGACAGAAGAATGAGAGAAAGACCCCCAAGGAGTAAAAAAACCAAACAAACCAACAACAAACAAAAACTCCAAGTCAGAATGAGAACAGCCACTGCCTGTGAAAGTTACACTGCGGCAAGCTCTGAAGAGCCAAGATGCGGCTGCCAGGACTCAGCTGGGGGTCTCCTGCCAGGAAATTACACTCTAGACTGAGCAACATCCCCATCTCTCAGATAACTTCAACAAGGAGTCACAACACCTAAAGAGCCCTGAAAAGACTAGAAATTGAGTAGCTTGCTTCTTTCTCCCTCCCCCAAGCATTGCTGTTCCGGGTCAGCAGAGCCAAGGGCAACTGGCACAGAAGACATTGTTCTCAAGGCAAGATGACAGCAGGAGGAGGAAATAGGATGCGAGAAGCAGAGAGATGATATGCCCTTAGGCTGAGATGTTGCAAGGGCCAACATGACTCTTGAAGAGCTCCTGCTCAGACTCCACCTCTGCTGCAGAAGGTCCTAGAAGTACCTTAGCCTCAGCTTCCATGGAATACCATCTGCAAGATGGAAAAATTACTTCCTAAGAACAAGCACAGGTGGATACTCTCCATCTAGAAGTGGATATGAGATAGAAAAAGAAGGACTGGGAATGCATGGGGAGAGGGGGATCCTATTACAGATGGTGTCAAGAATAGGAATGCCTTCCTCCTACTAGCAGATAATCTGCCATCACACTGCTGGCTTTATACAGGCAGATGAGACAACAACTGCAAGCAGTTGCCACCTGAACATCATAGATACAGTAATTATTAAAAGCAGAACAGAGTCTTGAGTGAGGTATGGACCCCCATGGATCTGTGTAAGCACCAGTAGAAAGCAGTCGCTGCCTACAGAGCAGAAATGCAGTGTTTTCCCTACTGTCAGCACCTGCGTCAGGCTCCTGGTTTCTCTTGAGATACAGCTCTTAATTGGGATAGATTGTACGTTTTCTGCTGTAGCCCAGCCTAGCTCCCAGTTTAATTGCTAGTTTACGACTTAGCCTGTTTTGTGCTTTCCATGCTACTTCTTTCCCCACTTAATCTAACAGAATTATAGAAAGTATTGCTGGGAGGACCTCAGGAGGCCACACAGTTTACCCTTCTGCCCCAAGGCAGTATTTAATTTTCAACAACATCATGTGTCTTTTGCTATCAGGTCAGATCGGTCCAAGATGTATAGCGGGTAAAGAAATGAAGCTTACCCAGGGGATTCAATTGGCATAAAAGACTAAATCCAGCCCTTTAAGTCACTGAAGTTATATCAGAAATAACCCTGGACCAAATGGTGTCATTTATCAGATTGGTTTTCTGAAAGATGTCCTTTCTTAAGTTTTAAGTCTCTAAAATGAACAAATCTCTAGAAGAAACTGTTCTGACAGCCCCATTTCAGTATGTTTAATGCTTTATTATGAGCAGCAGTGACCACTCCCTTGTTAAGACTGAACAAATCTTATCACGGTATGATCAGCTTTGAAACTCCTATTAACTCCCACAATAAAACCTGATCTTTCTGGAATTTTACATCCTGCATTTCACTACACAGTAGAATGTGTCTGGCAAGACAAAATAAAACCATTAAAGCATCTTTAATATGACAACTTTACACAAATGAATTTCCAGTAAGATTTCAGAATGTCAGTCAGCTTCTTAAGGTTCTTTCTTCCAAGACAATTTGACTAAAAATTCCACTTTTGTTTTCTTTCGTCTATTAGTCTCTCTAAGAAGAGATGTCTTGCAGCCTTGGGAATAGATAATGCAGAAATTAGAAGGATAAAAAAAAATCAGCTGGTGATGTATCAAGCTAAGTAAAGCAGGGCGCAAGTATAACAGGGATTCTGTGCAGCAGAATCATGAGGACCAAAGGAAAGGTAGGAAGGAGGGATGCCAAGGAGGAAAGAATTTTTTTTTCTAATCAAGCAAGCAGAAAAAAGAAGGACTACGTATCTCTTAAAAACAGTTAAAGGCCTGGTTGTTTCCTCCTCCTTCTTTTGAAATTTCAGTTCTGGTTGAGCTGGGTCTTTTCTGGTTTGTAAACACCCATGCTGAGCACCTAGAGCACTACACAGTTGGACAAAGTAGGGGAGCTGTAAGAAGACAACAAGCTTCCTGGTCAGCAGACAGGCCTTCTGCCTTCCTCCCACTGTTCTCCACGGTGTTTGTAATTCAGAGTGATGCTAAGGCTGTAAGCAGCAAACATGCATCTTCACCCTACAGATGTGACAGCAGCAGTTACTGAACACACTAAGAGAAACTTAATAACAGCTTCAGACACTTACTCATTCTCCTTGTCCAGCACACCTACTCACCACCCTAAACTCCTTCACACAGACACAAAACTATTTTCCACAGCCTTCCTATATCTGGCTCCCATGTTCTTTACCCACTCTTCACTACTAGCTTCTACAACCAAGGTCACAAATAAGCTAGGAAAATAGCAACAAGCATCCCCTGCATCATGCTGGTATTATATAGCACATTAGCCAGGAAGGACAATATATTATGCTTTTAAAATGCATTCAGAAGGACTGAAATGGCTATTGTCAAACATACCATTTTGAAGGACATTAAATTGTGTCTACATTAGTGCTTGAAATAGTCCTGTAAAAAGGAAGTTCGGCAACATGCTTTAGACACAACCTCTTTTCTAATTCTAGTCATGGCCTGTGGAAAGAGGGAAAGGGGCAGTGGGTGAATCCCTACTGCTAGCTAATTAGATCATACATTTCCTCTCTCAGGCAATATATCTTTCCCTGCATGGGATGCATTTTTCTTCACTAACGTCTCAAAAGCAGCTTCCCTATAAATCACAAATCACCACTGCAAGCATTCCCTTAATGAGATCCTCCAGCTTTTCCATTCATTTAATAAAACAGCATTCACCAATCTTCATCTTACTGGTGCATTTAGACTGTTTATTTGAAGTTATGGGAGGTCCTTCTGGTGCAAAGAGATTGAATTCCTCGGTTAAAGATTGCATAGGATTCATTCCATCACCCATTCCTGAGGTGTTCATCCCCCCTATGCACCACGTCACAGGTGGCACACACACCTGGCATGCTATTTTCAATATGAAAAATATCTGTCTTGTGTTGTAATCACATCATCAATAGAACCAGGGTGAAATAAGCTACCAAATCAAAACCAACCTTCTTTAATTCTTTAACTAGATCAGCACAGCATCCAAAATAACTTTTATTATTAATAGTTAGAGGTATGAGCACCTGCAGGCAAGACTCTACTCAGCCCATGTAAATCAACAGACATCCCTCAGGATTAACAAGACAACCCATGTAAGATACAAATGTCAGTAATGCTAATCTAATTGAGTCTAGTGAGTCTTCTAGTTACCCTCAGCCCATGGAGGAGTCCTTCCTTCTTTGGAAGAAGCAAGAGCTTTCCCAGCTGGTTCTGTCATTTTTTGAGGTGACTTCTAGCAAAAGAATCTATTCATTTTCTTTTCTTGTGGGCTGAGCTCCTGCTCAACCTCTTTAGCTGGTATTCATGCTCCCCAGCTAATTCCCAGCATCAACACACTGTTGCCAGTGAAATGAGCCCAGCTGCTTCTCCAGATTCTTGAAGTGCTTCATAAACTCAGCTACAACATCTGCAGCCATATTTCTTATGTTCAATCCAATGTACTTTTCCTAGCACTGGGCATAAAAATGGTTATAAAATGCAAGTATAAAAGTCTTGAAACACAGATTCCTGAAAAGCCTGCCTGAAAAATCACTCAGTGCTTACTCTCCACAGAATTCAGCTTACCTTGCCCAAAGGCGGCTAACATAATCTGAGAGAATAGAAAGGTTACAGTTTTGAACTCCTTGGTGTTAGGCTCAGTGACAAGGCAGTACCTTACCATGGATGCTTTCACATACTGCCTTAGCAAATAGGCTCTCACATATGCAACATCAGTACTCCACGCAAAAGACCAGTTGTCTCTAGGCTTTCACCTTTTCCGACACAAAACTTCCAGCCAGATATGGCTGAGTCAGAGTAACTCAGCCAGATTGTCTTTCATTTCCTGACTCCTGTTTCCACTAGCGACATCAGAATCGTGGTCTTTAATCCAAAATTCAAGGACAAGCAGAGAAAGTTTAACAACAAAGAGGACTTTGATTCTAGTAAGGGATTGAGAACTGAACCTAACGAGAACATGGTACTGCCAAGTTCAGCGGACAAAAAGAAAAATGACACAAAACCACATAAGATGACAATGACTTGAAGAAGAAAAGATAATTTGTTTTAAATTTTGGACTTGTCTTGAGAATAAAAGAAGTATTCTTGCTATCTGACCCCGTTTTGCAGAAAGGCCAATTTGGACGTGCCTGTAGGAAGTCCTGCTCACTTCAAGAGGCAGCTTCTTGTGAAATCTTGTGACCTGGGACCAGCAGAGGGCACTGCGTTACCAAGTGACAGCGGTACAGATGCAAGAGAGTTCCTACCAGGCAGTGCAAGTGAGCCACGTTGAAGAAAACAACCAGATTCTGTAAGTCAGAAACACATATTAGTCATCAGCATATCAGTCCTACAACTGATAAGGGTAACACTGTTAAAACAGGTCTCTGCTCCGGGCACTTCTAGAAACACACCTAAATCCAGCTTGGTCCCCACACATCTCAGTCCCCATGTGTTGATTTTAGGGCATAGGCCTCCTACCAAAAATGCTTTTCAAGTGGCCGGGCCAAACCACTCCTGCCCTGCAACATATGTATCAAGACCGGGTTGCTTAAGTTGAAAAATATCCTGTCAGCTTCCTCTCTCCTTCTCGAAACCTCTAAATCCTTGCTTGTAGCAGCAGGAAGTCTATTCAGACAAGAGACAAGACAATATCAAAGCAAAGAGCTGGCAATTTCCGTTCTGCCCTCCCCTTTTACTCCCCGCCTCCTTCAACCTAGCAGACTTTCAGTGAGCAGAGAACCAAGTTAGAGGACATGAAAGGAATGCTGAGGTAGCAACTTCAGAAGAGTGTCTTTCCACTTGCTTATTTCTAGTTTATTTTGAATTACCAGAAGATGACCATGAAGAAGCAAATAGCTCATCTTTTTCCTTCTCTCTGTATTTCATCCTGCAGGATTCTGGGCACTAGAAGACGCTTAGAGGACAAATAAGTCATCCCAGTCATGGCCCTCAAGCTAGTGAGTGAAAAGTTTCCACTTTCTCTTTGTACAGTTGGTGGAATGACTTTGCCAGGATGCGGAAAGGGGCCTCAAAATTTTTCATCTCCTTCTGTAAAGAAATAAGAAAGTTGTGAATGACAGATGGAATACGCATTTGACTATTTCTGCTCTTACTGCTTCACAAAAGACAGATTAAAACTGAGGGTGAGTTAGACCACAAACAAGTGGAAGAGAGCCCCCGATTATCTTTCTTTACCTGAAAGAGATGATAACTTTACAAATACTCACTTCCACAGATGGTGAAAAGAGCAGATACTCACCACTGACATCTCACAGTATTCCAGGCCATGTTTCTGAGCCCACTCCTGTGCTTGTTTCTGCTCCACAACTCGACGACCAACCAGGTCTGTTTTATTCCCCACTAAGACACCTACAGAAAAAAAAGCATGAAACAAAGCAAAAACAACCACCCAGAAACGCTGACTTGTTAGCAAGAAATGCTGGAACATTTGTAAAAGTGGCTGAAAAAGTTCGAGGCGTGGAGAACAGTCTACAACTACCTAGAAAAGGTTCCACAAAGGAAACATATTCATGCCTTATCTGATTTGTGATAAAAGCAAATGAGTTGGAGGAAGCCATGCCTGCCCCTGGCTTAAAATAAATGCTCTTTGCTACATTTCAACAGGAACAACTGCTGTCACACAACACGGGGAGCAGATAACAAGAATCTCACCCATTTCTTACCTGGGATGTGCACTCCAACTGCTTGAGCCTTCACCTTCTCCAACCACTTAGCACAGTTGTTGAAAGATTGCTCATTAGTGACATCATACACAAGGCACAGGACATCGGGTTGCTCCCACTGCACAGCAAGAAAGGAACATTGTCAGCTCTAATGAAACTGATGTGGTCAACAGCCAGTCTGTAAACACAGCAAACACAGATGCTAAGACAAAAATAAAAGGCCTAACATACAGGAATCCTATGCCCTGGCTGAGGTTTCACATTTCGGTTGAGCTGACTAAATGGATAGCTGGCACTGGGAAAGGTGGTCTTGCTCTTTTTGCCCATTCCTGTCTGCATGGTCCTGCTCCTTTACTTGGATCGGCTCTGGCTTTCATCTGATCCCTGGGGAAGCCGATTCTTCATGCTGAATCAGCACAAAATTAATCCGAGAGAAAAAAGTATAAAGGTTTTCTTCCAGTTTGAGCAGCTGAGCCAGCTTCTAGAGGCATTGCTTGCAAATCAGACCTAGTGCAAGAGCAAAAATGGAATTGCCTCTTGTAGAGCAATGAACCATTAGGTTGACTTAGTCATCTTATGAAACCTTGCATCAATTAATTGATCCTCTGTCTCAAAATGAGATAATACAATGGAGAACTGTACAGGGAGGGACACAAATGTGTGAAGGAAAAAAATCAAGGGCAGTACTATGCTCAAGGACAAGAATGAGTCCTGTCGGATCAAACACATTACTATAACACAAAAAACCCCCACTGTTGGAGTAGCAGCAAAATAGATGTTTTTCTAAGAAATAAAAATAACTTTAACCAAAAGTACACGGTGATTCTCAGTTAAACATCCCTATTTCTTTTGTAAGAAAACTGAATGACTATCTGACTTACTTCCTCTGGAAAGTATTTCTTCTAGTACAAGTTTTAGAGAGGTAGAACAGGATGCATTGGCAACTGAGGTAATTGCTCCCATTTACACTAAAGACAAAGTTTGCTACATCTGCCAGACTGGAGAGTTCAGATCTTCAAAGCAAAAGCACTTCTTTGGAAGAAGAGGACTGTTACATAAGACTTACCAGTTTCTCCAGCATTTCAGAAAATAGATCTTTTCCTGCAGAGTCAAAAATGAAGAATTCCTGAAAGCAGAAGCAGAAAAAAGGATCTTACCAGGAAAAACGCAGTGTAAGGAAAAGTTTTTGAAGTAAATACTGGAATTTGTAACTCCTGCATTTTGTTCAGTACAGCAGTGTCATGTCCCTAAGGGACAAGTTTCCTGCACTGAGAATACTCCAGGTAGCATGAGAAAAGAAATAGCTATTTTTCATGTATAACCCATAAAAGGGTTACCTCCAAGGCCCCAAGTCTGTTTTCCATGCCTACTGGAAAGAGAATATGTGGAGTGGGACAGTAACCTGCACTATTTATACAAAATTATACACACGTTCCACATTTCACTAGTGGGAGTGTAAGGCATTAAGAAAAAATAGATAAGTTCCAGCTTCTGTAGTTCTGAGAAATATGAACTAAACCTGAGTGCCCTAAAAGACAGAACAGCATCCTAACAAAGCTGGCAACAGCTTTTGTTTAAAATGTCATGTTGAATACAAGTATGTAAAATTTATATTTTTAAGATTAAACTACCCCCGGAGTATCAGGAATTGTACATGATCAGCCTCATTTCCTTAATGCAACTTAATGGCCTTATGAACATGCAGAGCAATCTTCCACCAGAATGAGACTGAAGTGAGGTTTGAGCTCTGGATGCCTCTTTCTGACCCAATTTATGTCACAGAAAAACTCACCACACTATCACTTGTCTCTGGAACTGATACAGCCTTCACCAACAGTTCTATGCCCGTTGTCTGTCAAGAAGAATCAGCAAAACAAGGATCAGAAGAGTTTTAAGAGCCTATCTGACTGCATAGTAACTATGCATTGGATTGAGGCAATTCTTGTGAATCATTACAATCCTATCAAACATAGACAGCTGGGAATTCCTCATAGCTCTCCTAACATACTCCCACCTACATGTCAAAGCCACATAGATTTGCTCTGAAGGGGAAAAAAGACAGAGAAGAACCAATGTCCAGAGATTTGCTTATATACAACTAAGGGTATTAGCTGAAATCAGCAGGGCTACGTTCACTATCACACTGCTGCTTTAAAGCGTGCCTTAGAACGTTTTGCGCCAACCATGTGATCAGCTAACATATGGGACTGAGGTTATTTGTGCCTCTTCCACCTTTTATCTCATTTTGCTTTGTAGCTTGTTTGTTTGTTCTATTTCTATCCTTAACTTCTGGTTTCCATCTTTATTTCAATGAATAAACATATTTTAGGGTTTTTTTCCTCCACATTCATATTTTCTTTTTTTTACTTTACTTATATTTACTTTTATTTTTATCCTGCTTCTGATTAGTCATCACCATTGATTCTCACACTGAAAGACTACAAACTGTATCCTCTTCATCTGGGAACAGTTTCTCTAGATTATAATTATCTTGGGGCTATGCAGCACATCTTCGTGTTTGCATAGTGATAAGCGCACTGTCCACACGCACATCTAATAGCTGGAATTAAAAGCTTTCTCCTTCAGCAATGCTTTTTCATAGAACACTCCCTAAAGGGGGAAGCTCTCTAACACCACAAAAGCTTGTGAAAACA